TTTAGAGAATGGAATACCACTTGTCACAAATTTTTTACTGATACCAATCTCTCCCATAATTGAATTTTTTTCTGGCCAACTAAGAGGTCTTCTCAATCATAACAGTATGAAAATTCTAACTTTCCAGTAAAATTCAATGTAAGTTTGTTTTCTGTTTTGGAGCTTTTCAAATTTAATTTTATCTTACACGTCTTTATAACTAAAAATATATTGAAATTTTGATAATTTAACACCGTGAACTAGTACAATGAATAAGAATTATGTTCTTTTCCTTCCACTACTATAATAAGAGGGAATTATTAGAGAGAATTTTAAAATTATTCCTTCAGTTTTAACATTTAAGTAAAATTATTCATAAACTTTAGAACTTCAACGATAATTTTGTAATATAAATGAAATTTAAGAGATGATTTAACGTTTCAGTAAAATTATTCATGAATTTTAGAATTTTAGGGATGATTTTGTAATATAAATGAAATCTAAATAATGATTTTAAAATTCTTTAGAATTATTAACTAAAATATAATATTTATTTAATCCCCAATTATAACGGTTACTTTTTTAAATCATTAGCGCAATAACGGTATAATTTGAAAGGGTCTCACATCACCTGGAATCTAAGGGTGGATGAGAATTTTTTGGACAACTGCATATTAAATTAAATATTAAAAAGGATAAAAAAAAACTTGTCTGAAAATAAAAATGTAAAATTCCAAAACTACCCATGAATCAAATAACAGCGTAGATATATAGTGGGATACTTGTGGTCCCCGTGGATATTACCAAACAGATGCTTCTTTACCTACTTTGCCCTCTTCTATTTTCTTGGTGTGACCTAACTTTCCTAGGTTCAAATAATAAGGAAATCTCAGTTAAACCCCTGCGCGTTCGATCCTATAAGCGGCTAGGTGGCCCACCAGAATGTACATTTAGGTTTAGATTGAGATTTTAAAGTGTTTCGATAAATTATTTTTTAAAAAATAATAGTAAAAAATTAGTATTTTAATTATTTTTAAAAGTAGCGTGATTAACTTTTTAAAAGCAACTCAAAAGTACTTTTTAAAATAAAAAAATACTTTTAATTATTATATTTAAATGTAAAATCACTTATGCTTTTATTAAAATCTCTATCTTAAAAACATTTTTAAAAAAATTCAAAAGAAACTTTAGTTTTAGATGTTCTACACTAGAGTTGTAAACAAGTTATATTTAAATTAAATTAAATTAAATTAATTTATGTATGAATTTGATTATCCATTTTATATTAGAATCTGATCTAAAATTTTATACAGTTTATTTATACTAAACTAAATTTAAATTCGATATATAATCTAAAATTCAATAAAAAATTTTGATTCGACAAAAAAATTATGTTATTTTACACTTAATTTTCTCAACTTTATTCTATTAATTATATTGATTTCTACTTTTTTTAATTTACTCGATGTAATCTCTACAAATTTAAATTTATTAATACTATATATAATTATTAATTTAATTAAAAAATTATTAAAATTCTTATTCAGATTTTTAACATATCAGATAACTTAATTCTATAATTGATCCACTTATTTTAAAATACAGATATTATAATTGAATCTGACATATTGAATATTTTATTTAAATTTGAGTTCTAAAATTTAAATTGAATCTAAATTTTATTTGGATTTAAATTTAAACAATTGATAGCCCACTTGTAGCTGTATAATATGCACTTAACCAGGTACTTAAAAGAATATATTAATCTAAATTACAATTTTTACAGCCATACATGGAGATTAAATGCTACTCTTTGATCTTTAGGAGTTAAATGCCTCTTTTTTTTTTTTTCAAATTTCAGGAGTAAAGTGAAAAGAACTGAAACTTTTGGGGGGATTGTGGAATATACTCAACTTTTAATTATTTATTTTACAAAAAATAATTCTTAAAGTTATCAAAGTTTTTTAATGTAGAAAAAATCAGAAATTAAAGAGTTGACAATTGATGCTCAAAGCTTTATAACCAAAAAAAAAAAAAAAAAGAAGATGAAAGAAAGAAATGAAGTCTTCAAAAATTGATAATTTGAATTCCAAAATTAGGATAGAATCCGAGAATTATCATTTTTTACACTTTTACATCCTAACAAAACAAATAATTAAAAGAGTGGTAGGGTGCAAAGTGTAAAAAATGATAATTCTGATGTACATTTTGTAAATTAGTCAAATTTTTTAATACAGAAAAAGTCAGAAATTAAAGAGTTGACAATTGAAACTCAAAGCTTTGTAACCAAAATAAATAAATAAATAAATAAAAGAAGTGAAGTCTTCAAATTTTGATAATTTGAATCCCTGAATCAGTGGATAGGATCAGCTAGCTTCATCTTCTCCCCCTAGTGTGCTGAATAATTAAATAAATAATTAAAATAAATTAAATAACTACATGGAAGGAGGACTGAATCTCAAATAATAAAATTTTGATGTACCAAATTGCAAATCTTGTGATTATGACATTAAATTAATCAATCAGGAGGGGGAAGACAGAAATATAATGAGCAATTATGGTTGTCATTTATTCCAATTTGAAGGTTGACATTTACACTTGGCATTAATCTATTAATCACAGTAATTAAATTATGCCCACAGCTGACCCTGAATCTCATTATTTCACAACCCACCCATGGAAGAGTAGACTTTGGGACATCATCTTGCAATCCCATTGACTAAACTTGTAACTAACGTTTGAATTTCAACTCCAACGTCTTCATCCCTTCAGAAAATTACCTTTTTGTTTTGGTGAATCATCAGATTTGACAGAATATTATAATGATGGATTTCAAACATGTTAAATCATCTCAGCTAATCTCTCTCCTCAAAATAAAGATTAAGGAAAAATCATGGAGTCAGATGACTCAGTAATTTTAATGATATTGGAAGTTAAAATGTTAAGTTTTTTTATCTTTGAAATTAAAAAAATTATCTAACTAAAGATATTTTATATTTTTAAAATATTCTTGTTGAATTTAAATTTTTTTAATTTAAATAAAAATATTTTACATTTTAACTTTGAATATGTTAAAAATTACAAGTCTATCTAATTTCGTAATTTTTTTCAAAGACAAAACCCAATATTATTAGAATTGCAATGAGCTGATATTAATAGTAACCTAAGTAGTCTAGCCAGAAGAGTGATTTTTTTTTTTATTTTTTTCGGGCGAGATTTTTAAATGTTAATATATTTTTATATTCCTAAATTAATTTAATGGGGATTAAATAACATAAATTTTTATTCAAAATTTTGACATTCTTGTCAAATTCAATTTGAATAACGTTCTTCCTATCTTGACTTGGAATGACCGATTAATTCATGTAACGAGGGTGGTTCCATTTTTAATTATTTGTAAATTAGACAGTCATTTTCAATTGCCAACTAATTCTTACCTAGTTACTTTTTTTAAATTTGCCACCAGCAGGAGTACAATTCTGAGCAAGAGTACGATTTTTGTACTATTTATAATGATTTGAGATTCTTGTACTATTTATAATAATTTAAAAATAAGTAATATTACTAATTTATGATATTTAAACAATTAATATAAAAAATTTAACTTTAAATTATTAAATAGTATTTAAAAATTTTTAATATCTATTTATTTTATGTTGCTTGAAAAATTCAATTTCATAACCCTTAAACAAGCAAATAAAATGTGTATTATTAAAAATTAATAAGAAAAGTACTTATCAAATGCTGTCAAAAGAGCTCAGTAAAAATTTTTAAACGAGTAAAATATTGCAACTATTATTATTTATAAGATTTGAAATGTCTAAAGTCCACACAGCCGCCCAATAAACCGAGGAAAAAATTATAAATAAATCAGTACATGCATGTCTATGTAAATTATATTTTTTTTTCAAAAATCATTTTGAAATAGAAAATTTTATGAGAGAATTATTTAGTTAAACAATTTGATAATTTTAATAATATTCAATATTAAATGACAATTATTTTTATTATGAGTCTAGAAAAAAATTACTTACTTAAGAATATTTTACATTATTAAAATATGCATGTTATTATACAAATATGTATATTTATAAACGTATACATATATAGTAATAAATATATTTTTGATATATAAATTGTTTTTTAATTGAGTAAAATTTTTTAATCACAAATAAAAATGTTTTATGTTTTAAAATCAAATCTCATTATATCACGAACATTTGGAAGTTGAAGCTAGCTATGTCATGTCTTATAGATTTTATATTTACTCACCTAGCTTCAGAATCTATGTTTCAGTGGTGACACAAGATTGAAGCATTCAATGAAAGGGAAACTTTCACACATTTCTTGCTGTCCCGAGCCGCCATTAATCCCTCTTAAATGATGCACCACAACAACTGCAAAACAACTCCGGGAGCCTTGTGTTCAAGTTTCTAACCTTCAAATTCAAAACCCTAACAGATTTTCAAGTACTTCAGTCAAACTTTAGTGACTCTCTCCGACAAGGTCAGATTCCTCCTCTCTCCTTCCACATTGAGAATATTTCTTAACCTTTTCTATTTTTTTATTGGGAATATTTTGTTCTCATTCCCTTCAATATCAGATCAAAAAATTAAAATATTTTAAACAAAACCCAATAATTTCATCATCTCTAGGGAGATTTTATTTTATTACTGTCTACGAATTGGCATATTGGCCTTGTAGTACCACTGTTCACCACTAGTACTCGCAAAAAAAGGTGCCCCATCTCTGCTCATCTCTGGTCCATTGTTAGGGCATTCAAGGTGAGAAAGTAAGATCCCGGAAAAACCATAAACATTTTCAAATCCCTGCTCAATCCTCACTTCTCTCCCCAAAGCCATTTTAGAAAACCCCCAAAATTTGCTCAGAAGAACGCCCAGAATCGAAAAGAACCAGAAAATTTTCAAATCTCTGGTCAATCCTCATTTTCACCACAGAGACCCACCTCCCAAACTCCCAAATTCTTCGCAAATCACCATGATTTGATCCATCTACTCCAAATGGGTAGACTTAGAAGCCCCCTTTGCTTTCTGTCTCTTCTTGTTCTTTTCCTCGCCGCCGAATCCGCCGATTACACCTCCTTGGTGTACAAGGGCTCTGCAAAGCAAGCTCTGACAGATCCATCTGGGGTATACTCGCAAGCTCTCTCATCCCTGTTTGGTTCTCTGGTTTCACAATCCTCAAAAACCAAGTTCTTCAAGACCTCCGCCGGCGGCGGCCAGACCAACGTTTCAGGCCTTTTCCAGTGCCGGGGTGATCTCTCCAACGTTGACTGCTACAACTGCGTCAGCCGTCTCCCCGTGCTTATCGACAAGCTCTGCGGCGGGGACCCTGCGGCCGCCAGGGTCCAGCTCCAGGGCTGCTACATGCTTTACGAGGTCGCCGGATTTTCTGAGGTCTCCGGCATGGAGATGCTCTACAAGACCTGCTCTGGCAAGAACGCCGCCGGCAGCGGCTTCGACGAGCGCCGGGACGCGGCTTTCTCGGCGCTGACGAACAATATCGGAAGCTCCCCTGGGTTCTACACGACGAGTTACCAATCGGTGTACGTGTTGGGTCAGTGTGAGGGAGATTTAAGCACTTCTGATTGTGGGAACTGCGTGAAGACCGCTGTGCAGAGGACTCAGGTGGAGTGTGGGAGCTCTGTTTCGGGTCAGGTTTATCTGAATAAATGTTTTGTGAGTTACAGCTTTTATCCCAATGGGGTCCCCAAGAGATCGTCTTCCTCTGATTCCTTGTCTTCCCCATCAGGTAAAGTGAACGAATAGGGGGTTTAATTGGATTTTTTTTTTTCAAATACAGATTCCTGTTTTCGAAAACAAAAACTCTCTGGAAAGTTATTTCCCAAGAATCGTTTTGGGAGAATATTCATTCAAATATGCCATTTTTAGAAAACTAACAAATGTTGTTTTCAGAATTCTGATAAAATACCACGGCTCAAGAAGGTAGACTATAAGAATAATCGAATTTCTAACGTGTTTGTGGGTGTCTCCATCTGAAAATGATACTTTGCTGGTTCTCTCTATTTTTCTTGTGTTTTGTAGTGGTTGAAGGGGTTAAGATTGATTATTGTAATAATGCTGGGATGCATTTGATTCGTGTAGGGTCCGGAACAAATACAGGGAAGACGGTGGCTATCATATTGGGTGGTGCGGTAGGAGTGGGGTTTGTGGTGGTTTTGTTGATGTTTGCGAGAAACTTGCTGAAGAAACATGACGGTGAGCATTCTAAATCTTTTGACGTTTTTAATTACTGTTTACATATACATTGATTTATTGTGCAAAATGGGTCCTTGTCAAATGGTTCATGTGGAATTTCTGTTGCTTTTTGTTTGCAGATTTATGAAGGAAGATGGGTTCAAAAAAATCTTTTTGAGGTGCATTCTTTCTTTCTTTTTTTATTTTATTTGCATATGACTGGGGTTTTAGTGGTAAGAAATTTTGCTATACCTAAAAAATTTCTGTGATAGATTAGAGAGAAGGAAAAAAAGGGAAATTTGTTAGTGAAAAAAAGAAGGGGATGTGTGAGAAACAAGTGCTTGTCACTCTCGACACTGAAAAAAGCTGGTGAAGAAATTTATGAATTTTGGCCCCTTTTTTTTCTCATTGCCATGTGCATATTTGTCTATTTCCTCTCCCCTCCCTTGTCCAGAATGATGCTTCTTTTGTTTTCTCCCCTACTTTTTATGCTTTTCAGAAACATATATATATATATATATAGAGAGAGAGAGAGAGAGAGAGGGGGGGGGGGAGAGTATTTTATTTACCTCTGGTTTGTGTTAAGATTAAGAATGAGAATCACACTGCAATCAAGGTCTAAATTCTACAGTAATTTTGACTCCTGGTCAGTGATTTGCGTAGAAGTAAATGCATTTATTAAGTCTGAATACCATGCCTCTCCGTGAAGGAGGGCTTTTTGTAAAGCAAACACTGTCGTTGTCAAAGGCCATTTTTATTGGCAATTGTTTGTAATGGAAGCAAGTAAGCCTTATCGACTTTTTGTCCACAGATTTATACTTTCAAAATTCTTATGGGAAAAAGTTATTTGGTGTTGGGGCTTTTTAAGTAAGCCATACGAATTTTTTCTTGTTAAAGGAACTGACCATTTTACATTGAAGTTGCAAAATTGAGCTTTTCTAAAATATTTATATCTCACAGGCAACATCCTCAAACAAACGCACCGTACTGTTTTCTTTCTTTTTTCTTTATTAATAAAGAAACACCCTTTACTATTACATACATGTCTAAGAATGAGCAGAGCTGAATGAATTGTGATGAAGTATTAGTTGGTTAATTTGAGCTTATCCTTCCTTCCATCTCTCTCCTCTTCTTCTTCTTCTTGCTTGGTTAATTTGAAGCTTCTCCTTCCACGTCTCTTTCCTTCTTCTTCTGTTAACACTTGTCTAATGTCTGGATCTTGGAGTCTTGGAAAGAAGAGAAAGCAAGGGAAAGGTGAAAGGATCTGGAAAGGCTGCATTTCTTGCTTTGGTTTGACGTTTGGTGTTAGAAAATGAGTTGAAACTTTCTAATCATAAGCAATTCAATTTTTCTGCCAGTTACTATTTGCACCAACCAATCATTGTACCAATCATTGTATTAATTTATCTATTTCATCTATTTTTTTGGGTCATTGTATTAATTTATCTATTTCATCTATTTTTTTGGGTCTGGTAATTAAAAGTTTGGGAACTCGTTGATTTGATTGATGGAGATGGAGGAATTGAAGTAATTCATTTCATTCTTGTCATATATTATTCTTTTCTTTTGGATTACGTGATTTTTAGTATATTTTAAGTCTCTTTCTTTTTGATAATATTAGATAGGATAAAATTATTATTTTATTGTATATTTAGTAAACTAATAAGGATAGGCAAAATAAAGTTTGAACAGTTCTTTCTTTTTTTTTAATCTAATTAAATGTAGATAATTTTATTACGAGGAAATGTGTGATAAATTTTATCAGATTAGGACAATTGTCTAATTTTTTTTTTTTGGAGATAATGTTGCCCTTCTTCTTTCTCTGTCTTGCCGTTCTTCTCTTCCAATGCTTGTGGTCTTTTTCAATCCCATGCAAGTCGGGCTGTCATCCTTTACAATTGCTAATTGCATAGGCCAGTCGCTAGTCATCCCCTTCTAGTTTGTTGTGTTCTAGATCGAAAGACATCTATGGTTCGCACAAACATTGCATCATAGAAAATTTGATTTGCGTAGCAGCGATTTCACTATTTTGTCCATTCTATGTTTCGCATATATATGATCAACTAGGTTTCTCTAGATCACTGGATCGAGCAAAGGTGTCTATGATTTTGGAAAATGATTTCACAAAGTGACGACAACTCCTAAGTGGTCACTTCTCCCTTTCAAACCTCGTCCTGATCTGTCATTTCCCCCTTCTCAATCTGGCTTTCCTTGATCCCCTTCCTCATCTAGGGTTTTCCAATCCCTTTCGAATTTGCTGTTCCCTCCTCTGATATGCGTTTGCCATGGCATATCCCCCTACATATCCTCATTCAGACTGCGGTATGGATGAGGGTTTGCAAATCTGGATGAGTGTTTCTCTGGCAACATTCCAACACAATAAAGTAGTGATTAGAATCGGTGATTGGGTTTCTGGCAGCAAGCATTACAAGTCTAAAAAATCATTTCGTTTCCTATCCAATTTTATTATCTTAATTGAGTTAGATTGAATCAAATATGAGACACTAATCCACGGTCCTATCTCAACTTATTTATACATCGAAACTAAAGGTGGCCTTTGATGTTTTGTTTGGTTCTGATTCTTCACTTTTTTTTTTTTCCTTTTATTACAATTCTCTTAAATTCTAATCAACAAAATATCTTTATTTTCAGATATCACTAAAATTTTTTGTTTCATGGAAGAAAAAATTGAAACAAAAAAATTTAAATTTTTACCATTTCTAGTCTATTTGAAAAGACTAAATTCTTTTTAATTATTCTAAAAAAATTTATATACAAGCTTAGAAAAAAATAAAAAATAAGTAATTTTAATCAGTTTACTTTTATTATAGTTTATTCAATTTGAGAGTCAAAAAAATAAAAAAAAAAAGATAAAATTAAAACTCAAAAATAATCAAATATTTTGGGGTCAACCATCGTTGCTCCCCTTTTCACGTGTTGAACGAAAAATGAAAGGGGACTCGCGTAACGAATTTTCTCGCTGCAAATTGCATATTGGGCCACTAGATGTCTGCCACGTGGATAATCTCGAGATTCGGATGTACTTGCCGCTACAGGAGATAGTGATTTACAGTTGTATGGGTTGTCGATCTCTGCCAATAATTGGTCAACTACATGCCAATTTTTGACAGGTGGAGACCACTTTTTCCGCTCCACCTTATCGTCTCTATTTTTATTATTTTCTTAATTTTTTTTTGGTAATTTTCTCAATTTTCTTGGCTTTTCTTTTTTCATTTTCAAACTATTTTGAAGCTGATAATCGATTTTCTTATTTTTAAATGAAATTAATTTTTCTTATTTTTTAAAAATTCTGAGCTTTTTATGTATAATTAATTAGTATACCAAGTTAATTGTTTTATAATTTAACAAACGAAAAAAGTTCTACAAAAATTCAGAACAAAGGTTGATAAATTTTTAGATCTTTGAAAATAAAAAGCCTATGTCTAATTTTAGTATCATGAATTACACATTGAAGGTGATAAACTGTTTTATAAGTGAGCGTTAGCATTGCACGACTTAATATATACAATTTTTTAGAGAGAAAGGTAATGATTCTGTAACATTATACAGGAAATAATTGTTGAAATTATAATGTAACTAATTAGAAAATAATAATTTTTATTTTATTTTCTAATTCATATGATTTAAAATATTAAATTATATTGACAAATACATCAAGGGCAGTAAAAGTATAGATGTTTCTCTTTCATCTACTATATTATTAGGATGCAAAATGTTCATGTTTTAAATTAGATGATGTTAAAAATTAGCTTAATATAAAAATTTAATAAAAATATTACAAATTTATTTTTCCATTGTGATTGTTGATATTTAAGTAAGCCATTTATACTTTTTAACCCAATAAATTATTTGGGAAACTGAAGAAATATTTTGAAAAAAAATATATTATGCACACAAAACATATATGAATAATTTTAAAAAATAAAAAATTATATATATCAAGTAATGTGACTAAAAGAATTTGTAATTTATGAGTTGTAATATATGATTTTTGATATTATAAAGTTCATTCTCGAACCTTAAAATAAGAAGGGAAAGAAAAAATCCTGACCCTTAATTTGTCGGGCCATCGACGGTAGTAAGCCACGTATCGTTGTTAATCAACCTTCCGACAGGAAACGGCCGTTGATCGGAGACAGAAATAAACTCGTACAATGGGGTCGTCATTTTTGTCGTCTCCTCAGCTTGTCCTCGCCGTCGACTCAGCACCTAAAGTCACACGATTAATGAATGGATTGAAGGAGATGAGAGATCGAAATCAAACACCTCCATGTCTCGGAGAGCACGATTGGCGTGCCAACCTAACGACAGAATGCAACGGACAAACATCGCCTGGCAAATCGCCGATTCTGTCATCATCCTTTGACTCCATTCAATCCATTGGATCTACCCCGGTAAATAATTTATAAAAGGCTTCCATTTTTTTTTTTTTTTTTTACTGTGCTTGGACGTAGGATTTTCGAAATAAGGTCGGACCACGTGAATACCATTTTTTACACACTTAGGGATAATTTTTTTTTTTTTTTAAAGGTAAAGAGTCGGCCCCGGTCTACCCGGTTGGATATTGATTTATTCTTAATAGAAGGCCAAATTCGGTTTGGGAATATGATATAATAAGATTAGAATTATTAATCAAGCAGATTTTTATTTAAATTTGATTTAATTATTTAAAATTTTTAATCGATAAAAAATTTAATAGATATAATTTGATTATAAAAATTGTAATTTAAAATAAATTAAGCGAATATGAAATTTGTTTGATTTGCTAAAAATTGAATTTGAATATATATATATATTATAAATATATATATATTACATACATATAATATATATGATATATAATATGATATAATATTATATATATCACAATATAAACTTGATATATCAGACTTTAATTAATAAATTATTTTCTTAAAAATAGAAATTAGAAAATATTTTTATTTTTTTTATAAAAATAAAAATAAAAATATATATATTAATTGATTAAATATAATTGTTATATATTATCAATTAATTAGTCTTGATATATTTTTAAACTTTAAATATATTTGTTAGTTCATTTTTTAAAAAATTTCTTGATTTGATTTTGAATATCTTTTCTAAAATGTAAAATAATAAAAATATAATAATTCAATAATTTGAATTCGATTATTGTTAACTAGGAGCATTATTCATTGTTGGCTAGAGAGCCCAACCTAGATAGGTTCATAGGTGGAGATGGCATTTGATGGAGACGTAGTATGGTGATCAATCAAGATGGTGCTATGAGACTACTCTACGAGAAATCTCAATTTGTGAAATCTGCAAATTGTTTTCAAGCGAGGTGAAATTGGAAGAAGGAAATTCATTTGTAGATCAAATAAAAGGGGGATCTGCAAAATTGAAAAAAAGATACTTGAATTTGGCAACAAAGAAGATTTATAAAATCTTAAAACATCCCAATCGATCGGTAATGTTTGTATGAATTGAGAAGTTACAAAATTAGAAGAGACGATGGATAAGGAAGAGATAATGGGGACTTCCTCCTTGGAAAATGGTGCAACAACTGGGACGACCTACTAACTTAGGGAGGTTTATTGTCATTGTTAGAACATGAAGAATACAGTGTGCAATATCAACAAATCTCGCAAGCCAAGTGTCCTCATCATTCCTTGTCTAAGCTATATCAATAAAGCTCACGATGAAGCAGTCCTCCCTCATTACTTGTCTAATTTGTTCAATTTAATTTCTTAAAATTGAACAAGTATGATCTCTCAATTTTAATTTATTATTTAATACAATCTCTTATATTAACTTATATCAAATTGAAAAGAGATTTTATTAACTTGATCTCAAATTTAATATTCTTGCAAACATATTTTATAAAAATAAGATAAAATTCATGTCATATAAAACTGAAGTGCTCATAGTATAGAAAATTAGATTAAGAAATTGCTTAATTCACTCAAAAATTTAAAAGTTTTGTATACTACAATTAAAATTGAAAGATTACTTTTGCTGAAATTTAAATTTAAAGGACTATATTGAATAAATTAAATACATACTTTTTGAAGACACTATATAAAGTAAATTAAGTGCTCATACAAACTTAGGTGACGGAATTCTACTGAAAGAATGAGAATTCTAAAAAAAATATATTTAGTAAATATTTTAAAATGGAAATTATTATTTTTAGAAAATTAGGATTCATCAATTGAGATAATCTAAATTTCATTACTAACCATTGGCTTGTGGGATGACGGCGACTGGCTTGGGTGAAAGAAAAAAATTTTAATTTAAAAGATTATATTGAATAAATTAAATATATACTTTTTGAAGATACTATATAAAGTAAATAAAGTGCTGATAGAAATTTAGGTGATGAAATTCTATTGAAAGAATGAGAATTTAAAAAAAAATATTTAGTAAATATTTTAAAATGGGAATTCTTATTTTTAAAAATCAGGATTCATTAAATGAGAGAATCTAAATTTCGTCACTGACCATTGACTTGTGGGATGACGGCGACTAGTTTGGGTGAAAGAAAAAAATTTAAATTTAAAGGATTATATTGAATAAATTAAATATATACTTTTTGAAGATATTATATAAAATGAATAAAGTGCTAATAGAAACTTAGGTAACAGAATTTTATTGAGAGAATGAGAATTCTAAAAAAAAATATTTAATAAGTATTTTAGAATAAAAATTTTTATTTTTAAGAAATCAGGATTTATCAATTGAAAGAGTCTCAATTTCATCACTAGCCACTGGCTTGTGGGATGACGGTGACTTGCTTAAGTGAAAGAAGAAAGATAGAAAGAAGAAAAAAAGGAAGAAGTATAATATTGTCACAAAATTTTTTTTTATCTTGTCTTATCTAATAAACTTTATCTTACCATTCTGGTGATAAACTTATACAAATTAAACTAGATAAAGTAGATAAATGGAGTTACCTATACTTTATTCTATATCAACTTGTGGGTGTGTTAAATATATTATAAGATATAATACATTTAACTTATGTTGCCTTGTTAGTTACGGTATTGAAATATGGCCAGGGTATAAGTTTCAACCCATCAGATGCCATTAAGACCAGGCCCACAGTTAGAATGGGATTAATCTTTTCATTGAATATTTATACATCGTTAATATCTTAAAACATTTTTCTTCTGGTTGGAAATAAAGATGGGTTACGGAAGTTCAGCCAATGGATAACATTTAGATGCACATTCACTGGCTTACAAAGTGTGTGGCAGCATCTGAGGGCAAGCCAAGCTGAGCGCAAGAGGATCAGCTCTCTGATTGTGAAAAAAACACAGCTTTAATCCACCGCAAGTTTTGAAGACAGAAAGGTGGAGAACCCTAGCAATGAATTCGAATATGAATGATAGGGGGAGTCTCAGCGAGCCGGGAGCAGCAACAATGGCGAGGGATTCGAGTGAAGGTGTGGAACGGTAACCTGGAAGACTGCCGTTTATGCTGAGGCAGATGCAATCTAACGGGATCTAATGGCTGATAAAGCGCCAAGATACTAAATATATTAAGAATTCAGATCAATGCGTCTCGGCTTGCTAGAATCGTGAGCGGAAGATCCTATCCTAAGGCCATCCTCGTCAAGAAAATCAGGTAATCAAACGTATCTTTGGAGAATGCAATTTTTTTGAGGAAAAGAAAATGAAGGATTTTGATTTTGCAATTTCTCACTTTTTAATCGTACAGAAGTTTTTAATTTCTTGATTGATGTTATGATTGTTATGTCATGGTCTTGATCTGATTGTCTCCCTCATTTTCATTTTCTTCAAATTCTCTATCTTTGTCTTTCACTAAAAATTACCATCTGCCTCTATCCAAGTTAACTTCATGTTGCATTCAGAAATTGATTTTTGGAGAGGAAAGTGGAAGTTATATCAAGCCCTGTTTGGTTCTGTTTATTGGAAACTGAAGACAGGTTGGCTAGTCATTTCAGAAAACTGTTATGGGAAAATTTTCAAAAAATATAGGCCAGTTTTAGAGAACAAAGAAAGCTTGTTTTCAGAATTGTTTGAAACTATTTTTGCTGAAAAATGGAACAACAATTGACTTTTCAAGATTCTGTGTTCTGTGTTTCTGAAAACTCAGGCAATTGTAACAGAGTCGAAGGTCCCAAACAGTCCTCTAGTCCTTACAATTTTCACAAAGAATTTTTAATTTCTCAGTAGATTTTTATGGGTGGAAGAAATATTTGAGCCCAGTTTTGAAAATGCTTTCTCAACTGCAATCATCCTCCCAAATAAGTACAATTCATTTGCTTTGCTTTGTTTCGCATGAAGCATTTATGCCTTTTTTGTCCTTCTCATGCTAATTTGAAGGGACTTGTTCACTGATCATCTTTATTCACATGATTCTGCTTGCCTCGTTTATCACTATTATTCTCTGAATTTGTTCTTGGAAACTAACAAAAGAAAGAAAAAACCCTTTCGAGATTATTTTCAGAAACTGTTTTTCAGGGGAATTTTCAGAAAGCAGCAGGCTCAATTATCAGCAAATATATTTGATCGAAGAAGAAAATGAAGAATTGAGTTTTCAACATTGCCAGTGCTTTCTGTTTTTGGAAACACATAATTTAATCCAAACATACCACAGTTAACCAATTGGTGTTTAAGATTTTGAATAAGCTTAACCTCATGATCTGATCAGCTTATAATATCAAGAGGAGGAGCGTGAAAATTGAGATCTCTCTTACAGTCTTTTTTTTATAATTTTCTTTTTCTTTTTCTAATATTTGAAATGATATCGGATCATCTGCTCCGTGTGTCCATCAGAGAAGAAGCATGGTTAGCTCTAAAACCCACTTCATATATATTTCTTTTATATATTCCCATCAGTCAAAAACTAAACAAATAAAGAGATTAGAGTGTCATCTAGAAAAGAAGATTAGATTGTTACAACTGTGTTCAGACACTCAACAGCAAAAGCAGCATCTTTCAACTTCTAGGTTTTGCAAGAAAAATGACATAGCATTATACATTATATTAGCTCGACTGGAGACTGTTGCAGGCAGTGCCAAAATTCAATTTTCAGAAGACCATAATGACCCACATTATTCAACTCTAACTATTCAGGGAGGGATGGGTATGTCCCGGTTGGTAAAGGGTCAAATGTGTAAAAATGCTTCATCACCTAAACGTGATAGATCTAAATCCAAGATTGAATTGGGTAGTTGCACTTGAATGAACTGACACCGGTGAGATGAGCAAAGAAATCAGAGGAATCAACAATGTCCCCTTCTTCTTTTACCACCATCTGCAGAGACTGCAAAGAGAAAAAAGGAAAGAGGAAAGAGAAGAAAAGTATCAGTCTGAGAAATTGTGGGAACAGCATTCAAACTCAGTGTGTGTGTAAAACGGTTCTCTGTTTTTGAAAACAGAGAACCCGTTTGGGCTGGTTGTTTTGGAAAACTGTTTTGCAACAGAATTTCAGAGTTCTTGGAGACTATTCTGCAAGAAACTGTTTTATTCAAGCGAGAGTCTTACATCCTCGTCTGTGTCTTCTTCATGGTTACCGCAGGTTACTCTAGGGATGTCACAGAACTCATCGTTCCTGGCGAACCTTCCTCTAACCCGAGGCCTGCTATCTGCTAGAGTTTTCCGGCAGGCATACTGCATGTTTAATTTCGACTGTTTTGGTGAGTGATTGAATGTTAATGTATACAACAATGTAATGAGAGAGACAAACACCTTGATTTTCTTGCTGAAATTCCTCTCTTTCCTTTTCTTCATGTATCTATGGATCTTCTCCTTTCTCTCCTCAACAGATAGCTTCCCAACCTTGAATGATGAGTCTTCCAAAACGGCTATGTCTGGAACCAGAGGAGTTGAACTCCCACCTCCATTTGTGACATGTTGCTTCTCACTATTAAGTGCCTTCACAAACAGAGAGAGAGAGAGAGATTAGCAATTCTTTTTTTTTTTGCCCCCTTTCATTAAAAAATGGACAAAAAATTGCACATATTAACAGTAATGCCCCAAGAAATTCTTGCCCTGTAGAAAAGGAAGATAAAGATGCAATGCAGCTCTTCTCAAAATTACTCGGAATGCATTTCTTTGTTCTATTTTTCTAAATCTTTTCAACCCCAAGGTTTAGTTACTTCCGAAGGAACTCCACCCTTATTTTGACAGGACTAGAACACCTCCAATATTGAAATTTCAAAGCCGTGAATTGAATTGGTCAATAATATCTCAGGAATGAATTCGGTTTAGCTTTGTTTTTGTGTTTTTCAATAACATGAAAATGAATTTAGATCCATGAAACTGTTTTTTTTTTTTTTTTTGAAAGCAATCCAATTTTCAAGGAACAAGTTTCGTTGTTTCAAGAATTCTGAAAAATATATTTTTAGTTGAAAATGAAAATGATACAGAAGCCGTAGAATATTCCATAAAAAAATCCAAAAATAAAAATTGATATGGTACCTGTAGGTTACTGGAATTGTAAACCGCGGGCAAAGGTTCCGGGCAGAAAATTCCACCATTTTGCTCCTGAAATTCCAATTTTTGGTTCTTCAACTCACTGCCCATGATTATTCTTCCATTGAAAATCCCAGAATCGTCAGCAGCAATTGCAGGTCCCAGATTGGTAGCCAGATAAGGCCTCATTCCACTGGAAGCCTCAAGAAAAGAGCAAGAAGTTGTCGATGAAGAGTTCAAATTCGTATAAGGAGGCATCAAATTCAAGCAATCTTCTTCAAAAACCGAAGGCAGAACCATGGGCTCCACGACAGAGGGAATCGAGTTAGGAGGATACGGTGAAAACCCATCATTAACAGCGATAGATTCTTCCAATTGGGCTCCAGATTGAAGAGAGGATAAATCAAATTGGTCTTGTTGGTTAGGGAGAAATTGAGGAATAGAGAAAGATGTAGACTGCGAAATTTCTACGGTTGGAGAGACGTCATTCTCAATCTCTTCTTGGGCGCAGAAGAGTGCCGAGAGGCTGGTGGTGGTGGAGGCCCCCGTTGGCGTAGAGTTGGCGGATGTGGTGGCGGTGGCGGTGATGGTGGTGGATCCGAGGGTGTTTTTGGTACTAATTTTGTCTGAAGTGATATGAAAGTTGTCCATGTCAGGAGCAAAGGAATGGTTTGTGGTGTAAAAGGAGTTGTCTTCATAGCAACAGTTGGAGCTAGTATTAATTTCAGAGCTTTGAAGTGCTTCTGGGAATAAGTCAGGATCACACAGCTCAAATATTTGAGCACTCAATGGGCTTGAAGTCTCTTCCTGCAAAATAAGAAGAAGAATGATCAGATGAAAAATTCCCACAAAAAAAAAGAAAAGAAAAGAAAAAACTGAAAATGAAACCATGCATGACCTCTGCTTCTACCAAGTGGAAGTCTTGTTTCTTCATGTTAAAGTGGGTAGTACAAAGTAACAATCTAGAATATATAAATGATTTCACCAAAAACACAAAATTCTTTTCAAAGGAAAGCTTGGAGAGACCACTTAACTATGCATATAGTTTCTATGAATCATGTATGTACAAACCCTTTCGCAACAATGGGAATCTCAATCTCCCAATGCGATCGCGACGTGTCAAGTTTCTCTCTTGTTATTTTTTTCTGCGGAAACACACAACCAGAAAAAGAGATTGAAGTTCTGCTAGGAGAAGATATGGGGTATTTGTGCCCCATGTGAAGTGTGGGAACTTTGGGTACCCAAAGAGGACAAAAATTTAACAGCACTATGAGAAGCTAGGAACGTCTTGATACGTGACTAAAGTGCAAGATGTGGAAATAACCATAATTGGACAAACAATGAGAATGAGAATTGGTTTGCTAAGAAGTAAGGAACCCTAAAGCCTCTTCCACGTGAACTGCTGCCATTAGGTTCCCTTCATCAATCCCGAATGAACCAAAGAATCAAGATTGGAAAAATTAACTCAATCATTTAGCATGGGAAGCTAAAAATGTTTTGTAATAATCGAAAGTAAATGTAGCCATCAGGGAAATCGCGGTTAGGGATGATGGGGCTTGGGGCCTTTTTGGGAGGGAAGAACAATGTAAGTGCGCAAAATACTTATGAGTTGCATCGCGTTCTTGTTTTTACCAATCAATGGTTTAAACAACCATTAGGAGATTATGCATTAGAAGCTCTATCCTTGAACATGAAACTTGTGTCCCAAGTTATTTTGAGTGCTGAAGCCCATTTTTCCACCCCAGACATGAGGAATGAGAAGATGAAATTCAAGGGAAACTTACTTCCTTAACTTACAAAATCTCTCCTTTCTTCCAATTTTGCAGCTATGATCAAGGAGAACTTACTTCCTTAACTTATAAAATCTCTTCTTCCTTCCACAATCAAATTTGCAGCTATTTAGTAAAAGGGTTGAAGAAGGTGTATAAGAGGTAGAAATATAGGTTAAAGAGATACTGTTATTAATTACATGCAATCACAAAAGGGGGAATACAAGAAAAGCTTAAAACGTCACAAGCTTAACATGTGACAATCTAAGAATTTGGGGACGAGCTTGAAATTTAACATTTGAGAGAGAGAGAGATAGAGAGAGAGAAAAGGGGAGAAGGGAGATAAAACCCTGAAAATCGTTAGAACATTGCAAAAAGTTTACCATACAAACACGTGAACTAGGACATGGCATGAAATGAGAGACACGAATATTTAAGTAACCTGCTTAAACATAGGTTACCCTTTTCTCTGTCTTTAATTTTGTTGTGCATGAAAACGTTTGAGAGAAGAGCCTCAAAAGTTGAGAAAATTACAATATGAAGATGCTCCTGTGGATTAACCATGTCCGGCAACATTGTCTCATCCGAAGGATAATCCAAAACCATTCTATCCTCAGTGGCAGACCCTAATTGATATTTGCCTACACAGTTGGCTTCTCAATACTATTTACTTTCCTTAGCTGCAAATGCATGCACGACTGAGATATACGAAGGTCAAACTCTATCCAAATGCTAGTTGAAGAGACATGATTTTGACGAGATAGAGGTCCATGGAAAGAGAGGAAAGAGAGATTTAACTGTCTCAAAATGTTAATTATGGATATTTATGGGGCAAATCCGAGAGAGTCGCTAGACCATTCGTTGAAGCTCTTGCCTACATGGCAACTCTTACTCACATACCCAGAATAAATATTCTACCCAAATATCTCCTCCGTATGATGAATACTTTGATGCGGGATCAACAGGATCTAACCCTAGATTTAAGTTGTCATTTCCCATCAACGCAGATCCTTGCACATGTATTTATAGGCTTAATGCACCGGATTTTTTTCTCTTGACACGTGGAGGGTAATCCTTCGTGGCACCCTGCTGATATGGCAACTCAGCCAAGATTGGATTTAGTTGTAAAATAGCTAGCTTGTTGGGACTAAAAATAGCATGGATTTGTTTAACCAAGAACTGACCCTCTCCGTTGCCGAAGTTTTAGAGCCCACTATCTCAGTTATATGTAATATGGAGTTGAGGATAAGAGGAGCGCCACGTGGCGCTTACGTGGATAGTTATATGTAAAAAAAATGGTGAAGAGGGCAAGAGCGAGGCACAGGGGAGGTCCAATCAGATAAGAGATTTTTTCCTCTAATCCCTAGAACTTGAAGCCAATCTCCATCAGAAAAGAGGACTTGCTTTCCATTTTTTCTTAATTTATTAAAGTAATTAATAGTGTGTTTAAAGCACTACACTGCTTATTCGATAAATAAGCAATTATGCATTTCCATAAAATGTTTATTATAAAAAAAATTAAAAACAAAATATGAGATTAAAGATAAGTATACATAAGGCCATAATAAATAACTGAAAAAATTAAGATATTTTAACCTTTTTTCTATTTATTTATTGCTTAATTAAGTCGCCTACATTACTTATGCAATTATAAATATAAAAAGGTAAATTAAAAATATACTTTTTACGTATATTTATTATTTTATTTAGTTAACATATCTAAAACACTCCTAGGGGATTGTGTTAATTTCTTGAATTATAGTAACTTCACAAACCCTAATTAGCATTGAATTGGCAATGCAATATCTCCTAGAGAAGCATCCTGTCACATCCTGCCCGTTTAGACACTCGGCAGGGCACGACAATCGGGGCAACGGCCAACACTCACCAGACAAAAATTTGACAGTATGCCGACTGCTGAATCCCTTCTGTCAAAACTCAACCTGTACTTATAGTAATATAATCATATCTCCAACATATCATTTGCATCTCAGAATCAATCCACAACTAATGGCAAGTGTCAAACTACTATCCACATGCAATATAAATATCCTTTCAACCTAAATATATCTACCACCATCATCATTAATATCTCATAACCCAGATCATAATTTAATATTCAAATATATAAAGGATCATCATAAAAGTCTCATTGTAATAATATAATTACATCATTTTTAAAAATAACTCTAGCTATCATAAAATATACCTTCAACTATAACTGGCCGCCTCAACTAATAAGCTGTAAAAGCACGTGCGGTAATAGGTGCGAGGGTATCAAAAATGTAAATCTGGAGCTGAAAAATAAAATAATGAGAATAAGATTCCTAGTGAATGTCATATGAACTAAACTCAGAAAAACAGAGAAGGTTTGCTATCCATTGCATACAATTTCAACATTTATACACATTTATAACAATTGAAAGTATAATAAGAAATATCATAATAAATGTTTTTGTTTTGGAGTATATCAATCATACCCATAGTCCATGATCAAAGTCATCAATAAAATATTTTGGAGAATACATTTAAGCTCTAGTCATGCATAAGTCATATAGTTTCAAATCGGTGTGCACAGCCGAAATCTCTGAGAGCAGTAAAACATTTAAAACATTAAAACTATTTAAATATGCTGGAAGCTACACACTGTGTAGCTTGCACCATGGGTCACCATTTTAGACCAAGCTGACACAATCTATGGTACTCTGAGACCCCACTGGATCCAATGTCATATACGTAGGACTGTCACTTACCCTAGATGGTACAGAGCATTTTACTCTATGTTTTGAAACACTAAGATCTCATAAAATTATCAAAATCCACATATATGATAAAAAATATAACATAAACACTCTATTTCCATGTTTTCATACCAATATACATTTATGATTTCCAAAATAGTTCATATCGTCATATAAAACATACATTTAATCAAAAGTTAAGTTTAGAGAATATGCCACTCACATCAGGTAAATGGTTTAAGAGTAGAGTTCTGTAGCTGTAGGTTCGGGGTCAGGTTCAGCTCTGCTTTCTTCCCCTACACTTGAGATACACATACACATGAGAAAAAAAAAAAAACATCCTATATGTAAAGTGTAAATGCATGCTTATGCCCTAAATTACATGAATATAAGCTTTTACTCTTTTTCTCAACTTTGGGTTCAAA